GAAAACGCAAAACTTAGATGTACAGGCATTCTGAGGACTATTTCTGCCGAATGGCATCGTCTCCCTCGCACCATGGATCCTGAACAATGGGTCAGGACAAGAGCCATGCACAAGAGCTGCCACAGCGTGGGGGATATGTGTGTACTGACAGTTCACGTCTGAGATATTTCAGTCTACAGAAATGTTTTCAGACAAACTGCATACCTAGCTATTCTATACATGCCATACTAACACTCCCTACTTTCCCACCCTCCCTGAAAACCCTGCACCTTTTTGATATTATAGCAGCGTGTTCATCCAACATGCTTACTTTGTGCCTTTTATTTTGAAACATGCGTGTGGACTATTGAGTCTAGAAAAGAGGTTAGAGGGCGAGCATCATTATGCTCTGCTAGTTTAGTATGAATGTCTTGTGGTTGCCCCTGTTCTACTTCCCATTTTCAGTGGAAGTAAGGTAATCTTTGATTAGAAAATGAAAATGATACAAACAATAAATTTAAGCTATTGGTTCAGGTCTATTGCTTCATCATTATTAAGAAATGCATATATAAAACTACTAGTAGCCACACAGTACTGGAATTTTTCACTCATGCATTAGAATATTAGTACTGTGAAATCAGAGTTGAAAGTGCCACTACTCACTTGCACTTTCAACCAGATCCAGTTGTAATAAGCATGCAAAGAAACCCCATGTTCAAGAGGAGTTATGGGAAATAACAAGGATGCATGCAAAGTGCCAATGGAAGATTGGAGTTGAAGTAAAGTAACTGCTTAGGAATGCAGGCCGATGCTTCATATCTAACACAAAATGCTGCTTCACGGCAGAGGTGCAAGTCAAGCCAAAAGGTTAAAATTAGGATCACTGTTGGGTTATAAAACGCTTACATGTAAATCATGGGGGCCCTCCTGGGCAAAGACTGTTGTGAAAGCAGTGGGAAAGGAAAAGCCACGGCCAGTCACTGAGAGCTCTACTCTAGGTGGCCTGTGGTGAAGGTGCCGTTAGGCGGGATGGGCTTCTGAGTCACAGCACTGCCTGCACAGCTCACGGTGGGCGGGGGAGAACTGCTGAAGAGCAGAGCCAATACAATGTAAACGCAAACATCAATGCCCTGAAATTTAGTATAGTCCTCTGCTTTTTCAACTGTCTGCCAGGGGAGCCTTCCAAATATGGTCGAATAGCCAAGCAATGTTCTAAAAAAAAAACTAGAAGCAATTTGCTTGCACCAACAGCACCATGAGAATGTAAACTCCTGGAGGCGGGGGGTCTGTTCATATTTTGCATATCATAGGTACATAAAAAGTAAACATGAGATCACAGCTCCCAAAATTAAATACATGCTCTAAATCTACAAAAACTTGTGCCATGTCTTATTTAGCACTGGAACTATCACCATGGCTGTTAAGGGTAACCCAATTTTTGCCATCACTTGGGAGTGCAGTTATGTTCCTCCGGTTGTGCAGATGCTTGAATATTGCTTTGTTGTTTCAATGTTGAACATCAACTGACAGTGTTAAGACATTTAGAAGAGCTGTAATCAATTTAAAACTTTTTCCTGTCTACTGGAATTGCCCCTTTAGTAACTGAATATTCATGATACTCTTCAATTTAACCAACTTTTGAGATTTTTCCCTTGGGACACTAAAGGCCCAGAGATCCAGCCTTTTCTTGGATCTTCAAGGTGCCGATGGCCAGTGTGGACATGATGCAAAAGAAAGAGGAGGTCATGCCTTTTCCACTGTCATATGTGATGCCAGAGATCAAGAAAAAGTAGTTTCCCAGGTTTTGCTTGTTAAAACATAAATAAGTAAATAAAGAATGAGCAGTCATAGACCAGAAGCTTCAGTACATCTGCATTAGACAAAGGTTTTTAAAAAAGTCTGTTAAAAGTCTTTGGCTATTCCTTTTCACCTTTAAATTCTAACTTCATAAGCATGAGGAAAAGTGTATTGTTCATTTATTTTTGACCCTTAACCCATACACCCCACACTTTCTTCCTGAAAGTGAACCTGGAAGCCCAGGGAGAAGGACGAGGAACAAAGATTAAAGGAACCGTACAGTAAATGGCATGGAGAACATATGAAAGAAAAAGCCTGAGGGTTGGATTCCCTGGGACTGCCCGGACATTTCCAGGAAGGGTTCACAGCAACAGCTCTGACCCTGTGCTTTAGAAAAACGGGTCAGCCTCCAACAGAAGTTCATTTTTCTAACACATTTACATAGCCATATACATTCACACTGTTTTAAAACAAAGTACCTTTTATATGATCTTTGCCCACAGCATTTTTCCTTCTGTGCCATTCTATTGGTCAGAGAACTCCACAAACTCAGGTAGCAATCACTTACTCTACAAACCCTGCTGAAGCCACTCGCTACACATGCAAAACTGTTATTGCTACTAAATTTCTACCTCTTGAAAACTATTAGTTAATTTTATGGCTTTACAAGGTTTTTTGTTTGTTTGTTTGTTTATTTTTTGCAACAGGAACCAGCCTATATACTGTGCCACTTTTGTACCTTTTGTAGCATTACCTTTTCAGAGGTATTTGTAAAAAATTAAATGCCTTTCAAAAATGAATTTTCTCAGCCACACAACTTTAAACACACTAACATGGTTTGATGCTCCGGCCAGGAGCCCTGCGGCCAGTCTGCTTGTTCTTGCTTGCTCATGTACAAGATATGCTACATTATTAACACAGATTTGCATTTCCTATCATACTCATGTAAAATATTGGTCTCTTACTGGGATTGACAAACCACCCCAGAAAACTGCCACTTCCAAGTTCTCATGGCAGCTTTTTGAGGTAGCTTTTCTATAGGAAAGCTATCTGTGCTTTCAGAACAAAAGAACCATTTTGGGAAGTAAAGAGTGGAAGCTGCCTGAGGTTTATTGTACCAAGGGAAACAGTCATTTTATCACCTAGGTAGGCTACACTACCAATTCTCAATTCAGCAGATTTGGAAAAAAAAAAAAACGGGGGAGGGGGGAAGAGGGTAGGAATACTTTAGGACAGTCCAAACTATGGACTGCATTTGTCCATTAACACACATGCTACAGAGAGGAAATATAAATGGCCTGCAATTAGAAAGCAATCGAAGCAATTAACATAGCATCTCAATAAGACATGCAAAATATAAAAGTTTCTGATGTACATGGAGTGAAAAATAATGAGCCCAAAACATACAATGTGAGAACAAGCTCATTTCAAACTAATAGAGCAGAATCATCAAACGGGGCCTCATTTAGATTTGAGGTTTCACAAGATACAAAGGCAGCTGGTTTCCAGCTACCTCATAAAAAAATATCCTCAAAGTATTTCAAGTTGCAAACCCCTATTTCTATTTATAAATGAGTCTTTTTGGCCTTAAACTCTTTTCCCCAGGGAGAATATCACAGATTCAGATATTAACAATAAAAGATCTATTTAATCTACTCTTTCTACACTATTGGTTATTATCAATAATTCATCCTGAAGTTTAAAATTATTACTAGGCTCATGCACTACTAACCCCTAACATGGCACTACAATATGCTACCAAGCACTAATGCTTACAAAACTATACACATCTCAAAATGGAAGACATTGGTGATTTTGTTGTTCTTAAACAACTTGTAACATTTGTCCACAAGTATTAAAATATACATATATATATTTCTATTGCACATATCCCGTTTTTGTTTACTTTTCAAAAGAAAAACTGCTAGCTAATATGGATGAGCAAAGAAAAAGGAGGCATAGCTACAGCATGAGGCACAGCCCTGCCTAAGATTACAGCTTTTGCCATTAAGAGAAGTAAATTCGATCCCCTCCCCCAAAAAAGAACCCCAGATGAGTTAGGTAAACACTGGGTAACTACAACTGGAATATACCGATTTTGTTAACTACTACCTGGTATCAACCATGGGAGATGCAGGAACAATCTGAAAGAGCATTTAAACACACTAGTTCTCTGAGCTGTGAGGTGAAGCGCAGAAAGCATCTGCAGAGGCAAAGTCTGGTACCTGGCGAAACAGGTGCATCAGCACTGGCTGATGGATGCCGATATGCCCTGCCAAAGGAATCTATGCACAAAGATGTGGTAAGGACATGAGAAGATGGGTAAGACCACAAGAAGGTACAAACTCTCCAGGATCCAAAATTCTCAACGCACCAGTGGAACCTATGTATACAGGCTCCATCTCATTTGCAATACTGAAACTACTACAAGGAAAGCATCACTTAGGAGAAAAGTATAAGAACCTTTAACCAAAGTTATGTCTGCTACATTTTACCCTCAGTAATTGCCCACAATTAAATTAGATTTTACCTATACTATTTATTTTGCTAAAAAGTTCATCCCAACTCAGACTGACTTACCAATCAAATTACTCGAGGGCTCAACATTTCCTATTTTGGTCATTTCTATCATGTTCAAATTTGACAACCCTGCCCCAGGTTTCTAGCATCACTGCATACAAGGCTCTGGGTGGACATTCAGAAAACACCACCACCACTACCTGTACTTACATTTCATCTAAGAAAATTCAAAACTCTCTTCACTCACAAACAACAATAAGCAAAGGATCCACTCTTGGGTACAGCTCTAAGAACTAGCACAGTGGTCTTGTGTTGGTGTGGGAGGTAGCATCCCGTAGTTGCTTGTCACTCACTGTAATCGTTAAGGAGGAAAGAAAGGAAGACCCAGTTCTTCTAAATTTACCACAGCCTAATCACAAACGCGGGAACAGTGCTTCTGAGATTCTCTGAGTTCACTTTCCACTGGGGAAAGACACCTGAGCCCCAGTCTCCTCCACATCATGTTACACTTACCACTGAGAAAAGTCAATCAAACATCCAGGTACCCATCATGAGCTGACAGAAAAGGGTCATCTAGGCTTTTATAAAAAAAAAAGGCAAGATCTATGGTAAAATGTCATACTGTCAGCTAGAGCTACTTAAGACACCTCCCCTCCCACCCCACCTTAGGAAAAAGGAAGTACATGGAAACGTTGTTCTCATTACTCTATGTCCAAAGCTGAAGGCAGGTTATGCCAGAGTCCATCACATCTTCTGAACTGAGAAATCACTTATGTCAATTTCTTCTAGCTGTAGTAACACAAAGTTTCCATGTGCTGTTAGTCCAGGAAAAAAGGGATGAATTTGTAACACAGCAGCCTCCCATCTAGCGAGGTGAATAGGGTGTCATCACACAAACCTTTTGCTTTCTTTCAACATCTTTTCAACTAAGTCCAATCATTCCTTCATTGCACAACATGGTTCTTCCTTAGAGAAATGAAAATACATTTTTTTTAAAAACCAAATGTCCAAAGACTTCCAAGAAAGAAATCAACAATTTCGTCTCTAGGAGAAAAATCCCTCTTCTTACACAAAAATGTAGTTAACGCATGTGAAAATGTGTATTTTAAGCAAAGCTCTGATGGTTTCTTCACTCATGACATGAACCTCAATGTACCATCTTCATGCTGCTTTACCAGGAAAACCTGACCTTTGAACTTTCACAGGGGATTAATGTCACAGGATGAGCCACGATTCAAATATACAAACAAATCATTTTTTAACTTCACTTAATTTTAAACTAGAATGGTGATTTTGGAATATACCGCTGCAGTCTCAAATATGCTTAGCACACTAGTGGCTAAAACTGGAAGACAATTGCAAAAGCCCAGAAATCATCTGTACTTGCTCGTTTTCTTGTTTGGAACAAAACTTAAAGAATTCATAACCACCACCATCTAAGCCACCTGTTTCAAATTAAATATCCTTTAGCATGTTAAACCATTTCCCCCAAATTAGGCAGACTGCAGGAGAAGACTTGAGTCAGTTGCTTCTCTCTTACTGGGGAAGCCATCAGGATAGCAGCACACCGAGGGGTTTTCTGTTCAATTTGCAAGGTGGAACAAAAGCAGTCTTTTCCATCCCCGATCGTGGAGGTGACACGTGCAGAAGATACCCACATCTCAGGAAGAGGGAAAGTGGTTGGATAAAAGAAGCAGTACTACCCACTCGAGTAGTTCAACACAGAAATACCTAAAAATACAAAGAAATAAAAATACAAACATTAGGTCAGGCAGCTCTGAATGAGCTAACAGAGTATTTTGGAAGAGACACTGTTGTAAAATAAAATGTCCATGGGGCCAGCATGGCTGGCATCCCATATGGGTGCTGGTTTGAGTCTCACTGTTCCTCTTCTGGTCAAATTCCCTGCTAATGTGCTTACAAAAGTGGTGGAAGATGGCCCACATACTTAGGCCCCTGCATCCACACGGGAGACTTAAGAAAAGCTCTTGGCTCCTGACTTCTGCATCAATTTGGGGAGTGAACCAATGGATGGAAAATTCACTCTTTCTCTGTATAATTCTGTTCTTCCAATAAATAAATAAAGAAATCTTTTAAAAATGCCAAACTGTGGGCCCGGCAGTGTGGCCTAGCGGCTAAAGTCCTCACCTCCCATAGGGGCGCCGGTTCTAATCCCGGCAGCTCCACTTCCCATCCAGCTCCCTGCTTGTCTCCTGGGAAAGCAGTCGAGGACAGCCCAAAGCCTTGGGACCCTGCACCTGCATGGGAGACCCAGAAGAGCTCCTGGCTTCGGATCAACACAGCACCAGCTGTTGCAGTTATTTGGGGAGTGAAGATATTTCTCTCTCTCTCTCTATATATATATAGATATATAGATATCTGACTTTGCAATAAAAGTAAATTAATCTAAAAAAAAAAAAAAAAACCTTTATGTGATAGGGTCTCCATTCAGGTTTCTCATGACGGGTAGCAGGAACCCAATTACTGGGCTCAACAATTGCCTCTCACAGCCTGCACGGGAAGTGGCGACTGAAAATCCACTCAAGGAACTAGGTGAGAAGCAGGAAAACCAGTAGGATAAACACCCACACCTTTCTAGAATTATCAAGCCACTGAAGTAGAGTTTAGAATGGTGAGTTCACTATTACTTACTTGCCAAATCCTGAGTTCAGAATTTTGCTTTTGAGATGAATGAAAAGCACCTAAATCTCAAGAGATGTTCTTCCTGTAAGGAATCTGAAAATGAAAAAACAGTAAAGTAACAACACAGACCTGTATTATATGCACTGGTGTACAATCTTACTCAAACAAATCAAGCTACTTTTGCGAAAGAGATCACTGTCAGAAATTACTCAATAGGAACAACCAGAAAGAAATTACTCTATCTGAATTGTCATTAAATCTTGAAATTTTTTACTCTTTGTACTTCAGTTGTCAAACTTGTATAAAACACACTCCGCTGAGATTCTGATGATAATATGGCCTCTATTCCAACAAGAATGTCTAATTGTGTATAAAGTATCAGGGGGATTATAGGTCTTTAGAGTCACTCCAGACTTTAAGATAGGGAAGAAAAATGTTCAGCTCCCTCTGATGGCCTGGACAAAACAGTGGAGGACAGCAAAAAGTGTTTGGGCCCCTGCCGCAAACTGGGGAGGCCTGGAAGAAACTCCTGGCTTTAGCCTGGCCTAACCTGGGGTCTCAGGGAGTGAGCCAGCAGATGGGAGATTTCTCTGTCTCTCCCCTTTTCTCTAACACTTCAAATAAACAAACCTTTAAAAACAATCCATACACTAATTCAGGGCCAAAAACGAGTATATATGACCTACCAAAAAAATTTATGTATTTTGTCCATGTGCACTGGACCCAACTAAAGTGCCTGAGTTTTAAACAGGCCTAACTAATGCAGAAACCTAATTACAGAAACTTTCCTAGATTTCAACTGTGTGATTGAATGAGGGGTATTAAAATCCGAATTACATGGAAGCCCACATGGGCGTGCATCCCTCTAAATTACGTAAACAATATTAAAAAGAAAAAAATTACAAAGAGATACTCCATATACAATTAAACAGGAACGTAAATAAATAAAGATCGTCTGCAGTTCTACTGTAATACACAAATTTCCACAAAACAACTTCTCGCCCAGTAAAAACAAGCACTCCTTCAGTGCTGTGTGGGAAACCAACAGCCGAAAATTCTGCACAGACCTGGAGCTGGCAGAAATGAATGCGCCACAGGCCATCAGGGGCAAAGCTGCCCATCCGACCCTAAGTCTGGGAGGTGGGCAGGGGAACCAGGATGCGCGAGGGTGTTGGCGACAAACCAAGCTCAGTGGAAATGTTGGGGATAACTCACCGCACCACCCCTCAAGGTCAACGGCGGGGGAAATCCACGAGTCTGGGGGCAAGAGCGGGCACAGGACCTGATTCAGTCCACAAAACAAAGCTATTCTACAGAAAATACAACCGCGGCTGACGCAGCAGGTGCCAGGTACGGGCCCGCGCGGGTGTGATCCCTAGCCAACGTGGCGAACAAGGGCAGCCTGAGGAACGGCCCCGGGGCTCGGAGGGAGCGGCGGCTGAGGAGGCGGCGGGTCGTACGCCCAGAAAGCAGGTGCGGCCGGACACGGTTCCCGGGACTGGACACCGCCCGACTGGGGGCCGCACCCGGTTGGAGGCCGCGCTGCCGCCGCCTCCAGGGCACTCACGTCCCCCACCACGCTAGGCCGCACCGACCTCCACACCGTCGGCTCGCTTCCCGTCGTCGGCATCTCAGCTCACCTCACACGGTCCGACGGTTCCCCTGGGCCTCCCAAGGGCGGTGCAGCCCCGGGGCGGGAGGCCGCCGGACCCCGGGGCGCATCACTCCGCCATCTTCGCTCCTTCTCAGATCCGCCAACCCTTCAGCGGGCCCCTCCAACGAGCCCCGCCCCTGCCGCTAATACTGAGAGCTGATTGGACACGGGTTCGCACGCGCGCGCTGTGCGCCCGCCGTCAATTGGTTGGAAAGTATTTCCATCAATAGCGCCGGCCCAAGTCTTTCGATCTCCTTTTGGTTGGATTGGGTCATTGGGTTGAGGTAATAGGGAGAAATTCTTTTGTGATACCTTTATTGGAATGTGAGGTTACTTCCGCGGTAGGTATGCAGAGGCCTGGCGGTTATTTTAAGCCACTATTAGGCTAAACCACAGGCTAATAGTTTCGCTCTCCGGTCCCAGGGTTTCTACTTCTAGGTAGAAAATTTATTGATTCTAATCTTTTTGTCCGACTCCGGAAGAGCCTGGTCGCTGACCTGCCGTTTGCACTATTCGTCTCACTCTTGGTCCGTCCTCGACTGCTTTCCCAGACCAGGATTTAGAACCGGGCGCCATAAGGGATCTTGGCGCGTGCAAGGCGAGGACTTCAGCCACTAGCCTACCGCGCCGGCCATGGTCCCTTCTGTCTTTACCAGCTACCCCTAGCTGTGAGGCCATGCTCCTCTGTCCATGGTTCCAGGAGTGGCGGCGGGCTGCAACTAGCAGACCCCTGGGTGAGTGGTGGAAGTCCACAGACCTCCCCAATAGCCTGAGAGCTGTCCTCTGAGCCACTCTGCAAAACCCACTGTTGACTCCTGCTTCCTCCCGGTGCAGTGGGGACAGCATCATGGTTCAAGTAATCGTGTCGCTGACACTTGGGTAGGAGACCCAGATGCAGTCACTGGCTCCTGGCTTCAGCCTGGGGCCTGTCTGGCTGTACCTAGAATGTGGTGAGTGAACCAGTGAATAGACTCTCTCCATTTTTCTGCTTTCAAATAAATAAATGTACATTAAAGAAATTTTAAATTTTTGGGCCTGATGCTGTAGCCTAGCAGCTAGGGTCCTCATCATGCATTTGCTGGTATCCCATGTAGGCAGGGAAGCAGGACCACCAGGATTAGAACCGGTACCCATATGGGAACCTGGCATGCCCAAGGCAAGGACTTTAGCTTTACGCCATCACACCAGGCCCCCATATATATATATTTTACACTTAATCTTACCCAAAAGGTCAAGAAACAATTCCCTTTATATATTTTTTTAATTATTATTTTTTTTATTACATTGCATCATGAGACACAGTTTTACAGGCACTGGGATTCCCCCTCCCCTCCCCAAAACCTGCTCCCCCCCACATGGTGGATTCTTCCATCTTGTTGCATTACCACAGATCAAATTCAGTTGAGATTTTTTTTCCTTGCAAGCATCTACAAACATAGAGTCCAGCATCTTATTGTGCAGATAAGTTCAACAGTTTCATGGGGAGACAGTCTCTGGTCTGAAGGTACAGCCGAAAGAGTATCATCCCTTTATATTTTTAATAACTAATCTTCAAAAGAAAATACTTAGGGCCTGGAGTGATGACCAGTGGCTACATCATCACCTTGCCTGTGCAGGGATCTCATTTGGGTGCCAGCTGATATCCCAGTTGCTCCACTTCCCATCTGGTTCCCTGCTTGTGGCCTAGGGAAGCAGTGGAAGATGGCCCAAAGCCTTGAGACCCTGCACCCACATTGGAAACCCAGAAGACGACCCTGGCTTCAGATCGGCTCAGCTCTAGCAGTTGAATTTACTTAAGGAGTGAACCAACAGATGGGAAATCTGTCTCTTCTCTCTGTAAATATTCCTTAAAAATAAGTCTTACAGAGGAAAAAAAAAACACAAACAAAAAATCACCTTTAGCCACCAAGGGCCAGGGACTGACTACATTAGTTCTGGGGATATCCTATTCCTAATCTGAGCAATACTGTTTATTATAAAACACCTCCTATATTAAACTCTAATCTTTAAAGCTGTCATTTCCAACCACCACCTAATAAATCTTACATAGGCGCAGGATACAGATAAAACTGGTGCTTGTAACACTGGCATCCCACAGCTGAGTGCTGGGAGTGCAACTGCTTTGCTTCCATTCTAGCTTCCTGCTAATGAGATCCAGAGAACCCAACAGGCAGGTGGCTCAAGGACTGGAGCCACGCCCACCCATGTGGACTACCAGGAGGATGTTCTGGGTGGCAGATGTTACCAGAAAAGTTCAGAGGGTCCTTTCCTCAGCTTAGTATAGAAATAAAAAGTCGGGAATCATCTGCAGGAGTTTCATTTGTGAAGTGAACAGCAAACAGGAAAAGTTGGAAGGGAAAAGCACCTCCCCGGAGATGAGATGCCTCTGGAAAAAAAAAAAAAAAAGACACTAGGGTTTTAGGAAGAGCCCAAGGTTTTTTAAGAGTTCTCTGACCCCTCCTTGTCTCGCCCGGAAACTGCAGGTAAGACATTCTGCATTGGTGAGCTGTTTAGAAACTAGCTGGGCAGTTCCCATGCAAGCCCCTTGAAGAGTGTGGCCAGGATTTTAGCTGGCTTGTAGTCTCAGCTCGCTTCAGCCTGGCCCTGGGGACCATTTAAAGGGAAAACCAAAGAATGAAAGAGTTGGTCTTCCCTGCCTGTCATTCTTTCAAAAAATAATCTTAAAAAAAAAAAATCGGGCCCGGCAGGGTGGCGCAGTGGTTAAGGTCCTCGCCTTGCACGCCCGGGATGCCATAGGGGCGCCAGTTCTATCCCGGCAGCCCCATTTCCCTTCCAGCTCCCTGCCTGTGGCCTGGGAAATCAGCAGTTGAGGACAGCCCAAAGCTTTGGGACCCTGCACCCGCGTGGGAGACCTGGAAGAGGCTCCTGGCTTCGGATCGGCATAGTATCGGCCCGTTGCGCTCACTTGGGGAGTGAATCATGGGACGGAAGATCTTCCTCTCTGTCTCTCCTCTCTGTATATCTGTCTTTCCAATAAAAAAATAATAAAAATAAATCTTTAAAAAAAAATCTAGGGGCCTGGCATGGTGGCCTAGCGGCGTAAGTCCTTGCCTTGAATGCACTGGTTTTAATCCTGGCACCTCCTCTTCCCATCCAGCTCCCTGCTTGTGGCCTCAGAAAGCAGTCGAGGACTGCACAGAACCTTGGGCCCCTGTACCCACATGGGAGACCTGGAGGAAGTTCCTGGCTCCTGGCTTTGGATCAGCACAGTACCAGCCGTTGCAGTCACATAGGGAGTGAATTATTTTTTAAAAAAGATTTATGTATTTATTGAAAAGGCAGATATACAGAGAGGAGGAAAGACAGAGAGGAAGATCTCTCGTTTGATGGTTCACCCCACAAGTGAGTGCAACAGCTGATGCTATGCTGATCCAAAGCCAGGATCCAGGAACTTCTTCCAGGTATCCCACATGGGTGCAGGGTCCCAAAGCTTTGGGCCGGCCTCGACTGCTTTCCCAGGACACAAGCAGGGAGCTGGATGGGAAGTGGAGCTGCCGGGATTAGAACTGGCACCCATATGGGATCCGGGTGCGTTCAAGGCGAGGACTTTAGCTGCTAGGCTATGCCGCCGGGCCCCAAATAAATCTTAAAAAGAAAAATCTAGGACCAGTGTTGTGGTGAAGTGCATTAAGCTAATATTACAATGCCGGATCTCTTACATGGATATGCATCCAAGTCCTGGTCATTGCACATTTTTTTCTTTTTATTTATTTCTATTGCAAAGTCAGATCTACAGAGAGGAGAGACAGAGAAAAATCTTCCATCTGAGGATTCATTCACCAATGGCCACAATGGCTGGAACTGAACCAATATGAAGCCAGAAGCCAGCAGCCTCTTCCAGGTCTCTCACATGGTTGCAGGGAGCCAACGCCTTGGGCCATCCTCCACAGCCTTTGCAGGCCACAAGCAGGGAGCTGGAAGGGGAAGTGGAGCAGCCAGAGTAAGAGCCAGCGCCTGTATGGGATCCTACACATGCAAGGCAAAGACTTAACTACTAGGCTACTGTGCGGCCCTATTTATTTCTGTTGGAAAGGCAGATATACAGAGAAGAGAAAGATTTTCCGTCTGCTGTTTCACTCCCAAAATGGCTGTAACAGCTGGGTCTAAGCTGATCCAAAGCCAGGAGCGAGGAACTTACTTCAGGTCTCTCACACAGGTGCAGTGCTCTAAGGTCTTGGGTTGTCCTCAACTGCCTTCCCAGGCACAGAAAGGGAGCTGGATGGGAAGTGGAGTAGCCAGGATATGAACCATTCATTGCCCATATGGTATCCTGGTACATGCAAGGTGAGGACTTTAGCCACTAGGACTAGCTACTGTGCCAGGCCCGGGCACTCTTCTTCTAATCCAGCTTCCTCCTCAGGTACCTGGGAAAGCAAAAGTAGCTGGTCCTAATACTTGAGCCCCTGCATCCAATGTGGGCTCCATGTGATGTCAACTTGTGGATGGATGACTTTTTCTCTTCCTCTCCCTCTCTGCAACTCTTTCTACCTTTCAAATATTGAAAAGAAATAACTATTTTTTAAAATGTTGCATGACGGTTAGTATGTGTCAGGCACTCATTTAACCCTCACAGCAATCTATAAAAAGTTGATATTTTATGATCATCATGGTAATCATTACTTTATAGTTGAGGAAATGCAGACAAAGTTACATGAATTGCCTAAGCTCATGTGATCAGATTATGTGGCATAATCAGAATTTGATCACACCCAGTGTTTCCAAAGTCCATGTTTATAAATCCCACATTAAACTACCCTACTATTTGTCCTCTTGAAAAGCACGGGCAGCTTTCAAGGCAGACCCTGGGCTATCTCAATACAGGTTCCATTCTTTTTCTTTCCTCTGGGTTAAAACAAAGGCTGGCCAAGACAAGGGTATTCAGGTACTCTGAATACCCTTCTACATTCCTTCTAAGAAATACTTCCCTTTTGTAAATGGTCTTCTTAGAAAAGCTCCTGGTCTTCAAATTTCTCATACTGCAGAGTACATTAAAAGGCCTCTTGCATGTCATGTTAGCATCAACAATAGAGTTTACCATTAAAAACCTATTCCAAAGGCACACAATAATCAAGTCAAATAAAATGAAATAGTCCTGGCCGTTGCAGGCATTTTTGGCAAGTACAGCAGATGCGCAATATGTAACTTTTTAAAAAATTAAAAATAAACTGGGCCAGTACTATGCCGTAGTTGGTAAAGCCATCACATCCCATGTGTGTGTCACTCAGGTCCTGCTGCTCCAGTTCCAATCTAGTGCCCTAAAATGTGTCTCAGAAAAGCAGAGGAGCAGGACCCAAGTGCTTGGACCATTGCTATCTATCTGACTAGAAAGAAAATTCTAGCTTGGGCCCGGCATGGTGGCCTAGAGGCTAAAGTTCTCACCTTGAAAGCACCCGGATCCCATATGGGTGCCAGTTCTAATCCCGGCAGCTCCACTTCCCATCCAGCTCCCTGCTTGTGTCCTGGGAACGCAGTTGAGGACGACCCAAAGCCTTGTGATCCTGCACCCATGTGGGAGACCTGGAGGAATTTCTTGGATCCTGGCTTCGGATCGGCACAGCACTGTCCATTGCGCTCACTTGGGGAGTGAATCGTTGGACGGAAGATCTTCCTCTCTCTCCTCCTCTCTGCGTATCTGAATATCCAATAAAAATAAATAAATTAAAAAAAAACCATGAAAAGTCATGTAGAATATGGTATATCAGAGACAGGCTGCACATAAATGTGGGGTGGACAATTTAAAAACAAGCAATAGATAATTTAAAAACAAGCAATAGATAAAGCCATTTTTAGCCTTTTTTTTTAAATTTGATCTTAGCCACCAGTCAAGAAACAACAGGCCTTTAAAAACATTTTAGGGCCGGCGACACTAGCCTAACGGCTAAACTCCTTGCTTTGTATGTGCTGGAATCATATATGGGCACCAGTTCTAATGCTAGCAGCTCCATTTCCCATCCAGCTCCCTGCCTGTGGTCTGGGAAAGCAGTCAAGGATGGCCCAAAGCTTTTGGACCCTGCACCCGCGTGGGAGAGATGGAGGAGGCTACTGGCTTTGGATTGGCTCAGCTTTTGCTGTTGTGGCTGCTTGGGGATTGAATCATCGGACAGGAGATCTTCTCTGTCTCTCCTTCTCTCTGTATACCTGACTTTGCAATAAAAATAAAAAAAAATAAATCTTTAAAAAAAAACTTCAGAATTCAGAGTCCAGATATTGAATTTTTTGAATTAAGAAATTGAATCTTACCTGGAATGAATTGAAAGTGGCTCAGTCTGACAAATTCTGCCTTGAATAACATGGCACTGGTGCCCAGGTGAATGCTTCTACTTCCCATGTCCTGGCAGCTGCCAAGAGCTGACTGTGATGATACAGACATAAACTAAGTAGGAAAGACACTGCTGATGATTCCAAGCTTACAGGTCTTTCAGTTATAGAAATGTAAACACATTGACAGAATCAATCAAGTTTTTTTTTAACCACAAGTATTTATTGATGGATTGAAGAATACAATTTTAACAGGACAATAAGGCACAACTGTGGATTAAAACAGTTTGCTCTACAGCCAAAAGGGAGGAAAAGCCATAATCTTAGGAACTTTAAATATGCAATCAAGGAGCCTCTGAAGTACCTCTTTAACATTCTTCCCTTTTATACAATTCCTATATTACATTACTTGATCACTAAGTCAGACTGAAACTTTATAAAGAATTCTGCATTCATTTCGATAGTCAGCCTGGCCACTCCTCTGTTCAATTCCTCACATCTTTGCAGCATCTTTTATGTGTGTGCATATATGCACACACACAAACTCACATACATATATATATTTATTTTTAGCAATACCTTTCCTCTTTAAAGAATCATGTACGTATCTTGGATAGCTTTTCAAAGCAAGGAAAGAAGCAAGCACACAGCAAGCAATGAGTTAAAGAAAGTTAGGCAAGGGCAGATAAACTCACACAGGTGAACAGACTCATACAGAATGGCAACAGGGACATCGAGGTTAAGCTGAATTTGGCAGAGAAGCTGCTCTGGCTTGCTTAAAGATTGATAATGTCATCTAAGGTTGAGCCAGTGGTGCTAGACCCCTTGTTTCCAATAGATTAGCAGTAGTCTACAGGAAGAATCAGGAAGCTAATGAATATAACCAGGCAATGAATGATACAAATACATTCAATGCTTTGCACCTGTATTAGGAGCTGACTATGGCTTCCAGCATTAACATTAACCAAGTATAAAAATTCTTCATAAAGAATTTTGTGTAAAACGTCCAGATGCTGAGGACAATCTTTCTATCTTTTGGACTGGGATAAGTTAGGCACTTCCATTAACATTAATCTTTCTACTTGGAAATGTGAAGTGAAAAACACTCCAGAGTGCATGTAACACTGGGGCGGAAATCATGCTGCAATGGTGTGAATGCAGAGCTTTACAGGGTGCCCAGCATCCTTGCTCAAAAAGCCATGAAAAAGTCCCCGTATACATTGCTCAGAGCAGCCATTCTGGTGGTGACAGTGTCCCAAGAACAAGCAAAGCTGCAGGCAGTTGGCTCTTGAATGAACACTCATCACTCAACTAGCAAGAAAGCTATGTAGTGGAGAGAATCAGAGGTCAGAGGTCAGAGGCCAGAGGCCAGAGGCCAGAGGTAGGGTGACTGGGCAAACCACCTAGAATAACTGGCTCCACACTTCTCACCAAGGCCACCTTTCAAGGACATCTCTACCCAGAAGCCCTTTGATGACAAAGTAGATTGCAGGAGACTAAGAACTGGTCTCACTCTTCTGAGAGAAGGATTAATCACCAAAAATTTCCTGGAGAAGCAGCATCCTAGAGAGTTAACTCACGAGCAAAGGTAGTTAAGCCTGGCCAGACCACTGAACTATTTTGCCAAGCCAGAAATATCATCAGGCATAGCTTGGGGTGCCAAGCAGAACAGAGGGGATTTTCAGGCTCAATCAAAAGGACACTGAAAGACTAAGAGAATAGTAGTTTGGGTGTCCGGGAGAAGCATGAAGCAAAGGACAGTCACAAAGGGTGACGGAGCTTGCCGAAGCCTCGCTGGAGGGAAAGCTGCAGGGCTAGTCTCTAAACCAGTGAAAGAGCTTGGCTGGCTGGTTCTTGGCATGGTTCTCTCTCTCTTTTGTCAGATGGATGGATGTGTGGCATTCAGCAGCAGAACAGGAGGAGACGTAAATGGAGAACCCGTGTACAGATACTGAACAGAAATAGACTGGGTGTACCATTGTGTAATGCCCTGTTCATACACCAAAGGCAAGTTTGTGTTAACAGAACATAATTGGGGTAGTCATGCAACAGCAGTAGTACTTTGGGAGAAGGGAAATGATGGGGTTGAGGGGGAGCTGGTGGACAGGAGGACTCTTGAGGTTCCAGTTATAAATACTAGGAAGCAAGGAACAATTTGGTCTCTGTCCTTTAATGAAGAAATCGGATGCTCATTTTCTGTTCCACATCCACTTTCTCCAAAACCTAAGGGGAGGAAAAACAAATATAGTTAGGAAGGGTGCAGGCAAGTCTCAAACTCTTAGCTCACTCCTCTCCTTCGTGTGCAGGAAAATCTAATTATTCCCAAACCAAGAGGTGAACTAACTTACCTTAACAAATTCTGTGAAAGATATGGCACTGTCTCCATCCTGATCAGCCTCTTGGATGGTCCTGTCAGCGATGCTGCCCAGCTGCTCATCTGAGATATTCACTCCAACCATCATGCGTAGAACCTGCAAGACCAACAGCTGGAAATCAGAGGAGTCACGGGGATCGGGAAGATAAAGCCACACATCCAAGCTTCCTTTTGATTCTCTCAAACATAATAGCTGGAAAGCTGGAACCTTATCTTCTCTTCTAGGCCTTTCCAGACAAAGATGTGAACAGAACTCTGGCAAGGCCAATGAATAGGAGAGGAAAGACGAACTAAGGCATGGAGTACTTTGCATTTTGCTCTTCTCCTTACTTCTTCTGCCTAGAGGCAAATACACATGTGGTGGCACAGCAGTCATTCTGGGGCCATGAGGTGAGTCATGTCCTCTGCAAGCCAGATCACAAGCAACCTGTTTCCTGGACATCACAGGTACAGTACCAGCCTGAATAATTTATACTTTTGCTTCTTGCTGCATGAGGCAAACAACTGCTTTGTATTTTGGTGGGATGTTTTGGAATTCTATCCAATTACAGCCTTTGAGGTGGTACAGTAAGGTAGTTGTTTCTAAGAAAATTAAGCAAAAAGCAGAAAAATCCTTCAAGTGTTAAATTACAAATCCTGGGCTGGGTGTTTGGCACAGTGGTTAAGATGTTGTGTGAGAGATACACATGCATTTTAGAGTGCCAGGTTCAAGTCCTGGCTCTGCTGATCCAGCTTCCTGCTAAAGCACATACTGGGATGGCAGCAGATGAGTTCCCATCACCAAGATGGGAGACCTGGATTGAGCTCCAAGTTCCTGGCTTTAGGCAGGGAAAGCTCCAACTGTTCCAGGCATTTAAGTGAATGAACTAGCAGATGAAAGGTCTTTCTTCTCTCTCACAAATGAAATGAAAAGAAATAAAAACTAAATCAAATCTAATGTGCCTAGGACATGAGAAACAAAACAAACAAACAAAAAAAACAACTACTTTTTTTTTTTAAGCTGAACTGTCTTCAAGGAACTCTATAATCATTAGCATTTTACAAACAACTCAGATGTGAAAACACATCAAAAACTGCTACCAGGGCTAGAATGGTAGCATAATATCGGCAAATACCCTGCCACCCAGCTTCCTCTTTTTTTTTGTTTAAATTTATTTCTAATTACAAAGTCAGATATACACAGAGGAGGAGAAACAAGAGGAAGATCTTCTGTATGATGATTCATTCCCAAGTGAGCACAACGGCTGGTGCTGTGCTGATTCTGAAGCCAGGAGCCAGGAACTTACTCCAGGTCTCCCACGCAGGTGCAGGATCCCAAAGCACTGGGCCATCCTCAACTGCTTTCGGAAGCCACAAGCAGAGAGCTGGATGGGAAGTGGAGCTGCCAGGATTAGAACCGGCACCCATATTGGATCCCGGCACATGCAAGGCAAGGACTTTAGCCGCTAGGCCACGCCACCGGGCCCACCCAGCTTCCTCTTATGGCCTGGGAAAAAAGCGGAGGATGGCTCAAGCACTTGGGTCTCTGCACCTATATGGAAGTCCTGGAATAAGCTCCTGAATCTTGGCTTTGGATCGGCTCAACTCCATGCATTGTGGCCATCTGAGAGTACCTTCTAATGTATCTCTTTCAAGTTAAGTTTAAAATTCTTTTTTTTTTAAATGTAAAAATCTTTTTAAAAAATGTACTACTATATGCAAAATAAGCATTTTAAAAAATATGTTATTTATTTTTATTGGAAAGCCAGATATACAGAGAGGAGGAGAGACAGAGAGAAAGATTCTCCATCCAATGATTCACTCCCAGGTGGCCGCAACAACCAGAGCTCGGCTGATCTGAAGCCAGGATCCAGGAACTTCCTCTGGGTCTCCCACGAGGGCGCAGGGTCCCAAGGCTTTGAACTGTCCTTGACTGCTTTCCCAGGCCAAAAGCAGGGAGCTGAATGGGAAATGGAGCTGCTAGGATTAGAACCGGTGTCCATGTGGGATCCTGGTACATTCAAGGTGAGGATTTTAGCCACTAGGCCACTGCGGTGGGCCAGGAAGCCTAAATTTTAAGATCATTTCTAAAATTTTTCTGTTTAATAAACACACTTTTCATAATTATCAGAGAATATTTAATTTTTCAAAATTATCCTCCAACACAGGCTTCTGCTTAGTCCAATTACCTTCTCAGGGTTTTCATGTTCAGAATTACAGACTTGTTCGATGCATGTGCATTTTATATGAGTGTAGGGTGCTGGGATGAGTGGTTACATGAATTATAGACATGTATGATGTATGCATGTTTTGTATGTGTGGGGTTATTGCGATGAGTGGTGATATCTCAAACATCATCTTGTTCAACCTGTGAAGGAGGACATGAAGGCCTAAAAGTGGCCTGAAGCAGGTCCAAGCAGGTACCACATGAGCCATCTATGCAGGCCTCCATGACCAGGCCAAGGCTCTGACCATCAGGCCATGCTGATACTATGTTCTTGCTGAAATCTGATTAACAAATGGGACCTTTATTATATTTTCAATATTTGTTGAAAGTTTTTGTATAAACTCTTTACTGATTTAAGAGAGATCCTTCCAATTCTGCTTTCCCATTTTTTTTTTCAAGATTTGTTTTATTTGTATGGGAAAAGCAGATTCACAGAGAGAGGGAGACACAGACAGAAAGATCTTCCATTCACTGGGTCATTCTCCAAGTAGTCAAAATAGGTGGAGCTGAGCCAATCTGATCCAGAGCCAGGAGCCAGGAGACTCCTCCAAGCCTCCCACATGGGTACAGGGGACCAAGCACTTGGGCCATCCTTCACTGCCATTCCAGGCCACAAGCAGGGAGCTGGAACAGAAGTAGAACAGCCAGGACACAAACCAGCACCCATATGGGATTCTGGCACTGGAAGTTGGAGGACCAGTTGTTGAGCCACCGTGCTGGCCCTAGATTCTTTCAAATCATAAATGAATGAATAATCCTATCAGATGTTTTTTTTTCTTTTTTTATAATTTTAAAAAAAGATCTATTTTTTTTTTTTTATTGGAAATGCAGATATACAGAGAGGAGGAGAGAGAGGAAGGTCTTCCATCCAATGGTTCACTTTCCAAGTGGCCGCAATGACTGGAACTGAACCAATCCGAAGCCAGGAGCCAGGAGCTCTTCCTGGTCTCCCACGGGTCCCAAGGCTTTGGGCCATCCTCCACTGCTTTCCCAGGCCACAAGCAGGGAGCTGGATGGGAAGTGGAGCCGATGGCATTAGAACTGGAGTCCCATATGGGATCATGGCACGTGTAAGGAGAGGACTTTAACCAATACACCATCGCACCAGGCCTAGATGCTTTTTTTTCTATTCAAAAATCATATTAATAAAAACAGTATCATTTAGTCTTTCCTTAGCAGAAATTCAAGACCAACTTTTAATACCCACTGAGTTATGTAATGTTTGAGAAACTGCAGTATCTACAAAGATAAACTATTCTCTCTCACTTGGGCAAAGTGTTCACATACTCTTTTTGCTGGGAGGAAACTTGTCCTTTAACACTTCAGCAGTGCATCAGCATATCTGTCCTAAAGTCATTTCTGGCCCCAGGAATATTCCAGTGTATTGACTGGCACTCTCGCCATATGGTCTCCTCCTCCCCCATGGCTCCTAAAAATAGACAACTAATCGATCTTTTACTCCAGAAAGATCTTTCTGGCAGCCAGATCCAGGCCAGAGGATGAAAACACACCAACTTTAAGGCAACTGCCTCTCTTTTCTCATTAGAATCCAGAAGCCCACTTGTGACAACTTTTGATAAAGCCAACTCTTACTGGAGAAGACAGATTTTCCAGCCCCAAGCAAGGACATTTATCCCAACCCACAGACTATCTGACTCTGGTCCAGGCCAGAACTGAAGAATATAAAGGACTGGTCTTCATTAGACCTGAACAGTCCTCAACTTAAAAAGACTTCTCAAGAAGAGGCTGAATGAACTTGGATTTTTGCAAGAGGGAGTGAAAACCACCTTGCTTTTTAGGTATATCTAGAAAACGGGAAATTTTCTAAGAAAATTTCTCAATGTGTTAGCTTCCTGGGGTCCTCCAGAATCATAATATATTTAAAAGGACCAATTTTCTCCTCTTTCAAACATACAGGAGTGGAGAGTTGAGGAGAAGGGAGGAATGGGGTAATGTTAATACCAGTCCCTGTGATGAGAGGGAAGTGGTCATGGGAGCAATAGGAGGCCGTGAACTGAGAGAACACCAGCACGAGCCCTCCTTTGAATGTTACTTCAAGCCCAAGTTCACACTGAACAATAGCACCAGGATAGAGATCTGGTGCAGTGGCTGAGGTGTCACTTGGGAAGTCTACACCCATATCAGAGTAGGATCATTACCAACTCTGCTCCTAATTCCAGATTCTTGCTAATGCACATCCTGGAAGGCAGCAAGTGACAGCACAAGGACTTGGGTTCCTACCATTCACATGGGCCATGCAAAGTTCCCAGATCTTGGGTTTAGCTTGACCCAACCCCAGCACTGTGGGCCTTTGGGGAATGAATCAGAGGATAGAAAATACCTCTCTTTTGCTGTATTTGTGTGTGTCTTCTCCATATCTTTGTCTTTCAAATAAACTAAAAACAAATGAAATGTTTAAGATTTAAATTACTTCAGGGGTTAAAAAAAAGGCAGCATCTATATATATATCATCATCAAAACCTACTTGGCTGTCAATAAGCTGCTTTGGCAATAACTGACTATGTGATCTAATTCATGTCATATATTTTAGCTATCTAAATGACATATGGTTAGCATAAAAATTTGCCTAAAAGTTGTATTTACTGGACTCGGCATAATAGCCTAGTGGTTAAATCCTTGCCTTGCAACTGTCAGGATCAAATGTGGGCGCCGGTTCATGTCCCGGCTGCACTATTTTCCGTCCATTTCCCTATTTGTGGTCTAGGAGAGCAGTGGAGGATGGCCCAAGGTCTTGGGACCCTGTACCCGCAATGGGGACAAACAGGAGATTCCTGGCTTTGGATCAGCTCAGCTTCAGCTGTTGCAGTTACTGGGGAGTGAACCAGTGGATGAAGGATCTTTCTTTCTGTCTTTCCTTCTCTCTGTAGGATCTGCCTTTCCAATAAAAATAAATACATCTTTTTTTTAAATTATATTTATTTGAGAGGCAGAGAGTACAAGTGCCCATCACTGGCTCATTCCATAAATGCCCACAAAAGCCCCAAAACCAGGAGCCAGGAAACCGATTCAGATTCCTATGGAAACAGTAGGAACTTAACCTCCTGAGCGATCACTGCTGCCTCCAGACTCTCCATTAGCAGAAATTTAGGGTCAGAAGTGAAGCCGGACATTCACTCTAATATAGCTGTGGGTATTTTAACTGCTAGGTTAATTCTCCTGGATGAACTTAATTGAAACACTGGTAATGTCCATCTGAGAAGCCTCAGTCAGCCATTTCAAGCTTCCCCAGGTCATTTGCTCTTTCTCGTTAGAACAGGACTCTGCACACAGTGGGTGTTAAATAATAAATGCCCATGGGACCAAAAAAAAACCAAAACCAAACCAAAACAAAACTAAACAACCCCCCCCCCCCAAAATACCCCAGACAATTCTGATCCACAAAAATAAGAGGGCAGGGCCTGAAGTTATCCGAGGGGTTCTGCTACGTACCTGTAAGAGCTCATCTCGGGATATCTTGTCATCTTTATCCAAATCATATAATCGGAAAGCAACTGGTAAGGGAAAAAGAACACATTAGTGGAAATTCTCCATTGATTCCCCGCCTCAGCAGGGAGCTAAAGGTAGAAAGGACACTTAGAAAACTGATGACAAATAGTTTTTGCAAAAACAACTGTCATGACTTAACATTATTATAACATTTAGAAAATGAAAACTGATGGCATCTTAAATTTGATAAACTATGTTCTCTTTTTCAACAAATAGGAAAATCTCATAAAACTTCAAATGTCCTTTTTCTCATCATAGAATGTCAGAACAACCCTGAAGAGCTTCTTAAGTTAGCTAACCCCACATAGAACATCTGTTCTACCGTGGCCCACTTGGAGGAAACCCACACAGGGGCCACGGGGGCACTGTGACAGCTGACTCCGCACAGTACTGCCTTGGGAATTCAAGTAATTCCATTTCATTTGGGAGTCCTGCAGGTAACAAACTTCAGTTTCAAATAAACACACCACACTCATATCATGTTTCTCTTTTTAACAGATAAGTCTTCCAGAAGCAGGGATATATGAGATCATGGATTTTGTGTTCATGTGAGAGGGAATTCAGAAAATGTTGAAGGGCTAGCGAGCCAACAATGTGATAGCACTAGGTGATTTTATAGGCACCCTGAGAAATGGTAACATGGAAGAGCTAGCTATCCTTTCAAGTAGCTGACTTCAGTGTGCTTTCAAGATTTATGAGTCACTTCAGTACATTGCTAAGCTGCATTTTTTTTTTAAAGATTTATTTTTATTGGAAAGGCAGATCAGATTTATGGAGAGAAGAAGAGAAAGAGAGAAAGATTTTCCATCCACTGGTTCACTTCCCAAGTAGCCACAGTGGCTAGAGCTGAGGCAATCCAGAGCCAGGATCTTCTTCTGTGTTTCCCACATAGGTGAGGAGTTGGGCCATCCTCAACTGCTTTCCCAGGTCACTAGCAGGGAGCTGGATGGGAAGCAGGGCCACTGGGATTAGAACCGGCGACAATATGGGATCCTGGCACGTGCAAGGTGAGGACTTTAACCACTACACTATCGCGCTGGGCCCGTAATTTCTTTTTAAAGAAAAACTGAGCAAATAGCTGAGTTCCCCTCCCCCACCTCCAGCTTTTCCCATCATTAAATCTTTGCATTAGTGTATATATTTCAGGTACTGAAAGAGTATTTGGTCATTATCATTAGCTGGAGTCCCCAAATCCGTGGTTTATATGAAGATTCATTCTGTTTTATAAACTTCTTTGGATCATAGCAAATCCACGTGAGGCAACAAGCAGCATACTTTTATGTCCCTAAAACTTTTATCTTTATCAATTCATCCCTCTCCCTTCCCCCAAGTAGTACTAGCTATTTCTTGAACTGATTTGGATGCCTGTTCATTAACTGTCAACTAGCAGGAACATCTTCCCAAGACAATTAATAGCCAAATGCAGGAATGACTGAGGTTGCGGGAGCAAGTTCACCAATCCCCCCATCTTTTCTTTATTTTGCTAAGGTTTTCCTTCTTTCCTCTCTTGCTCCGCTCTTTCCCCTCAACATTTGGTCTATGTGCTGGACCCTCATTATGTTGCATGATTTCACAGTCCTCTGACACTGATGTCTCCCAGTGGGTGGCTTCCGCTCAGACCCCTCTTAACACTGCACAGGGGTAAGACCACAGGCTCTGCTGCTTCTGCTGCTCTGCCAGGTGGCTTACCTTCCAGGGGCTGTGAAGCTTGTGCCACAGGCCAGAACCAGCAGAGTGGGCCTGTATGGGATTCACATACGTCCTTCAGTTCCAGGAGGGCAGGGGGAGGGGGCTCCAGGGCCTCAGGCTACCATGCTGGCATGGTGTGCTGGTGGACTGTGACTGGGGACTTGTGCACATGATGGGACCCCAGGCCAGCTCAGAAGCATGGGCCTAGGGGACCCATGTAACTGCTTGGGTCCCGGACAGGTGGTGGATAAAGTTCAGGACTAGCCTGTGTGCCAGGGGACCCTTCTGGAGATTCTTACATTTGCTGGGGTTCTGGGTGAGTTGGCAGGGCTCCAGACCAGCACACCACCCACCTCCAGAGAACCAGGTTCTCCTGGTCAAGCTTTGACAGTGAGTATCCAGGACAGTGGACTATGTCAGCCAATGGAACTTGGAAGGATTTGCTGAGCATCTCAGAACTATTGAAACCACTTAAGTATTAGTACCCTTGGAGCATGCTCCACACTGGGGGACTCTGGGATAACACTGAGTGGCCATTCCCCATACCTGGGTACTGATGTGGTTAGGATGCTAGGTGTAGCCCTCTCTCCTTCCCTCCCCCCTTTCCTTAGATACAGGAAGAAGAATAAAATCAGAAATAATTGTCTCATCCACTTTCCCCTATTCCTCAATCCTTCTCCCTCCCCAATCAATGCTCCACATGGGCATGCATCCTTCTTAACTATATAAAGATCATCAAAAATAAAATTACAAAACAACAACAAAAATAAAAAACAACAACAACAAAGACAACAGACTCTAGCTCTGCTCCATTCCAGCTTTGAAATTTAGGAGCTATGTGAACATGAGTAAATTACTCAGCCTCTCTGTGTTCTGTCTCTAGAAAGTTGCTTTATCCATATAAAATGAGAACAGAATCAAACATAGGGCTATTGGTATTAGATGAGCTAGTACACAAAAGGCAGTCTGAATGTCATGAGCTGAATCAGTATCAGTCACCTAACATTACCTTTGCTCCACTTTCATATCATTCACTACTTTCTTGATAATGCTTGGGCCACAATGGGCTTCTTTGTTCTCTAAACACATCAGACTGGCCCTTACTTCTATCCAGAGGCCTTTATAGTCATTCTTCCTCTACCTTGAGAGCACTTTTGTTCTGTGCAAGGCTGGCCCTTTCTTAGCTCAATTTCAGTTCCTTCCAGAGGCTTCCACTGATCACTCTGTCTTCCTTGTCACTTTTTCATTTCCCTGTACTTTCTTTCTTCACAGAACATGCCACTGTCCTAAATCTTTTTTTTTTTAACTTTTTTTTTTTTTTTTTTGAAAGACAGATTTACAGGGAGAAGGAGAGACAGAGAGAGAGAGAGAGAGAGAGCTCTTCCATCCACTGGTTCACTCCCTGAATGGTCATAACAACCAGAGCTGAGCTGATTGGAAGCTAGGACCCAGGAGCTTCATCTGGGTCTCCCACACAGATGTGCAGGGTCCCAAGGCTTTGGGCCATCCTTGACTGATTTCCCAAGCCACAAGCAAGGAGTTGGATGGGAAGTGGAGCAGCTAGGAGATGAACCAGCAGCAACTGCGGGGGGGGGGGGGGGTCAACTGAGCCAACTGAGTCATTGTACCAGGCCCTGTCCTAAATCTTAATTATCCATTTGCCTTCTGCACAGTCTACCTGTCCTGCTAGATCACGAGCTCTTTGAAGGTAAGACCTCATCTGATTTACTCATCACCGCCCCCTGAGGCTAAAATGGTGACTGATGTACCTTAGGTGCTAAAATAATTGCTTTTTATAGAACCAAAAGAATCACTTCAAATGTTAACCTTTCAATCACCACTGCCTTTTTTTTTTTTAACTGTGGTAAAATACACACAAAAGTAAAGATTTCCACCCTTTTCAGGGTACAGTTCTGTGGTGTTAAGCACTTACACACAACCATCACCTTCATTCATTCCCCAAATCTCTTCACCTTTCCCACAGGAAATTATTCCCATTATACACCAGCTCCCCATCACCACCTCCAGCCCAGCCCTCAGCAGCTCCTGCAGACCTTCATCCTCCCTCCGACTGCTCTGAGAACCTGAAATTTCACGTGTGTCCTTTCTGTCTGCTTCATTTCACTCAACATGTTTTTACTGTTTTTTCATGACCTTAGGTAACAATTTCTTTAAAAAAAAAAAAAAAGCAAAAAGGATTTATTTTTACTAATTTGAAGGCATGCTGACAAACACAGAAAGAGGTCTTCTACCTGCCAGTTTATTCCCCAAATGGCACAACAGCCAGGGCTGGCCAGGACCTAAGAACTCCATCTGAGCTCCCACAGGTGCTTTCACTATATTCTGCTACTTTGCCAGACACAGGAGCAAAGAGCTGAATCAGAAGTAGAGAAGCCAGGCGTCAAGCCAGTGTTCAAATACAGGATGCCAGTACTGTAGGCAGCGGAATATTCCATTGTACCACAATGCAGGCCCCAGAATTTCGTGACATTTGTTTTGAAAATATTTATTTACTTGAAAGCCAGAGTTAGGGGCTGGCATGCTGGCATAACAGGCTAAACCACTATATTGCTAGCATCTCATAAGAGTGACAGTTTGAGTCCTGGCTGCCTCATGTTGGATCCAGTTACTGGCTAATGACCTGGGAAGGCAGTCAAAGATGGCCCTAAAGCCTTGGGACCCTATACCCACTTGGGAGATCCAGAGGAGGTTCTGGGCTGCTGACTTCAGATCAGCTCAGCTCAGCTCAGCTCTGGGCTGCCGGGGCCATTTGGGGGGGGGGGGGGACCAGATGAATCTTAGAAAAAAAAAAAAGTGGTGTTATAGAGAGAGGAAAGGATGGAGAGAGAGAAAAATGGATTCAGAACTTTCCATCAGCTGGATGACTCACTCCTCAAGTGGCCACAACATTAGGGTTGAGCCAGGCCGCAGTCAGGAGCCAGAGGCTTCGTCTAAGTCTCCTATGAGGGTACAGAAGATGCTTCAGGTCATCTTCCATTGCTTTTTCCAGACCACTAGCAGGAAAGTGGAGCAACTGGGATGTGAACTAGAGCTCATATGGGATGCTGGTGTTATAGGCAGTGGCTTTACGTGCTACACCACAACACCAGTCCCCAATTTGTTTTATTTTATTTTTTTCCAAAGCAGGATAATATCGTGTTGAATGCAGTTACTTCGGTATGTTTATCCAAATGTCTGCATACACTGGGTTGCTCCCATCTTTTGGCAACTATGAACGCTGTTGCTCCTTTTTTCTTCCTGCTATTCTCTCAAGTTCCACTTCATCAAGAGTCACAATAGTCTCATGCAGCCAATATGGGATTACTTTCCATAACCCCATATTTTATAAAACCCAAGTCATTTAAGAGGACTATTAGACCATGGAAAGGGACATCTGTGGCCCGCTGGCTCATCACATCCTGGAGTATTTTGAAGCAGGTTGTACCTTTCCCACTGGCATTATTATCATCGCACCAATCCAAATAGAGAGCGGACAAAAGAAGCTTGGGTGTGCTTGGGTGCCTGTGCCTACACAGGTACAGTTTGGCCTTAGGGACTGCATTTGAAATTCTCTCAATGTGCCACAGGAAAGAACTGAGATAATATGTGCTCTCAGAATTCCTGAGAAGAGCGGATATGAAAGGGTGGATGTGGACTTTGATTCAACTTCTCCTTTAGGCCACAGTTTTAAGCAGTTGAACCCTCTTCTGGAAGGCAAGAGTAGACAATATGTCACCAGGTGGAAGAATCTCCATCGCTCTCTGCCTGCATCCTGCTGCCTCTGTGCCCTGTAGGAACTCCAAGAGAAGCATCAAAAAGACACCGAGGCCTCCTGCAGCCTTCCCTTGAGCTCTAAGTTGACTCAGTTTCATGGTCAAATGACATCAATGTGATCCTCACACAGAGAACACACCAGCATTCTCAGTAATTTTCAGCTATTGGCGAAAGTCAGTCTAGGAACCAGGACTGAAATAACAAAAAAGAACATGCAAATTTGCACCACACTTTGCTATTCTTCCATCTCACTCTAAATTTGCCATTTCTGTGGCATCCCAAACCTCCTCTCTGTAACAGCCCCACCCCACATATTCAGAAGGGCAATCTGATAGGCTGAGTTCCCTCAGCACTCAGCTCTCTCCTACTTAGAAGTGAAAAAGGATTTCTGCTCCATACCTGCGGGAAGTGTTTTTCATCTGCAGCCTCATTTCTCTCTGTCCTCATCTTACTGCCAAGTGTGAACAAGAAGTACGCAGCCTTACAGCCACTGAGAGCCATCATACACCCACGATGTCCTAAGGTAAACCCCAGGGATGGCAGACCAAATCAGAGAACCTGACAACAAGCCAACCCCTGGCTGAGTCGGCTGCAAGCATGGTAGTAATGGCAGTACCTGTGATGCTAACAACAGAAATAGAATGTATTAAAATCACATTTACAGATGTTGCATATACTTAATTTATCATTTGTGCTCATCACTGCTTCAGAATTCACCACTGCTTCAGAACTAAAGGTTCTCTGGTGCACTGCTATATTCTACAACTCAATGTGTAAAGAGGAAGCACATCTAGTACTATATCAGAGTTGTTTTCATACTTTATTGAGTAAACTTCTATTTCAATTCCATAGCTTTCTCATGCTAATTTTGAGTAAGCATGTCACTGGTTGTGTTCAACTTAGCAACTAAGTCGGGAGGGCAGCTGTCCTAAAACTGTTTTTAACTCTTGATAAAACTATACAATGTGGGCCCAGCACATAGCATAGCAGCTAAAGTCCTCACCCTGAACACGATGAGATCTCATATAGGTGCCAGTTGTAATCTCAGTAGCCCCACTTCCCATCCAGCTCCCTGCTTGTGGCCTGGGAAAGCAGTGGAGGATGGCCCAAAGCCTTGTGATCCTGCACCCATGTGGGAGACCTGGAGGAGGCTCCTAGCTCCCGATTGGCCCACCTCTAGCCATTGTGGCCACTTGAGGAGTGAATCAGAAGAGCTTTCTCTCTGTCTCTCCTCTCTGTACATCTGACTTTCCAATAAAAATAAGTAAGTAAGCAAATAAATAAATTAATTAATTAATTACATCTTTTTAAAAAAGGTACATGAGCTTGTGGTAAGGCTGAGCAATATTTTTTCACTGGTTCAAAACTCCTTGTCTTATATAACAAAAAAATTTTAAGTGCTTTTCAAAATCCTCATCTGACCACATCAACACAGCAGTAAAAAACTACTGCTGTTAGGAAAATCCCAGACCCTAGGAAATTGTACCATAAAATTCAAAATTAAAACAAACAAACAACAACAAAACTGCTGCTGTATCCAGAAAGATCAGGGGGAGATAGCCAAAGGCCACAATAAAAACATAAGCATTATGCACCATGTTTCAAATGTATGTGGCATTATGATGTATAATTTGTCATTATTAAATATTATTAAATCTTTTTTAAAAATTGTCAAGTAGGAACTTGATGGGTGTGTCTTTACAGACCTCTCTACTACTGTGCACTCTAGTAGGAAAATCTGAGGCTCACTCAATTTACATTATTTCAACTTCAACCTATGCTGAAAAAGAAGAAAAATTCAATTTTGATATCCTGGAAAAGTACTGTACGAGACTGGATAATATCACATCAATCAGCACAGGCAGAAGGGGAATCTAACAAGCATCCAAGGACAGAAGGCCAGAAGCAAGGGAAACAGAGACACATGAAGAACTAACCCAGCTACCTGTTCCCAGTTACAACCTATCTAGTGTCTATCAAGTTTCAGATGGAGTCATTACACCCAGGAGTGCGGCCGGGTCACACTAGCATTTACCACACTGCCTTAATGCATGGCTGGTGTTTACTGGAGTATGATTATAATAGCAGGTGGTATTTACCAACTACTTAGTATGTGCCAGCACTTCTTGAAGCGCACAGCACAGAGTAAACTCAATCTTCACAACAACCTAATGTGAAACCCCTCAATCTTACACAAGAAGCTGAAGCCCAGTGATCTTAAGAAATCTTCTCAAAGTTAAAGGACTGGATTGGGTGTATGGGACGCTTCAGATGTCTACACTGCAGTGTATACCATTCTAATTTTCTGCAATTGCATATTCTGGGAAGCAGAAGATGACAGTTCTAGGACTTGGGTCCCTGTCATTCATACCACATACAGTTTAAGAACTGAGTTTGCAGCTCTTAGCTTCTGTCTGGTCCAGCTTTGAGTGTATGTATGTATGTATGTATGTATATTTTTAAAAAGTAAAAAGAAAAAAGTATCACAAAGCCAAAAAATGGTAGAGCCGGGATTCAAATTTACCTAGTTCAGGGGTCAGGGCTATGACATAGCAATTTTAGTTATCTGTGACAATGACGTCCCATGTAAACAACCAGTTCATGTCCCGGCTGTCCAGTCCAACCCACCTCCATACTAATGTCGAGGGAAAAGCAGTGAACCACTACTATCCATTTGGGACACCCAGATGAAGCTCCTACCTTTGGCCTGGACCAGCCATGGCCATCGTGGCCATTTAGGGAGTAAACCAGTGGATGGAAGCTTCCTCTCTTATTCCTTCCCTCTTTTCTTCTTTTCCTCTCTATAACTCTGCTTTGCAAATAAATAAACAACTCTTTAAGAAAAAATCAACTGGTTCAGCTCTACAGTATGAGCTCTTAGTCACCAAGGTCTACTTCTAAACATCAACTTGACACATAACTAAAATTAAAAGGCTTGTTACAAGTAATATACTAGCAGATACTTGAAGCCAGAAGACTTGGACTCCTTACAGTGCAGTTTGTTGCTCCGGCTGTTGAGTGGCTCTGGTCCATTCACATCTTTGCTCTTTTCATTATCCTCAATGGGTCGAAAGTGAGCCAACGTTCTCATGAATCCCCGGAAGTTTACCTGGTCCTCTCTGATTGGAAAACACAATAAAGAGAATATTAGGTCAATCAGGATAAATGGTGTATACTGGTAACCTCAGTTCATTTCATGGGATCTCTTTCCACATGCATGGTGCTAGGGTTTTTGTAGCTTTACTTAAGCTGCACTCAAATCCTTTGAGAAAGACTTACAAATGGCACAACTAGCTATTGAATTTACTTATATTTCTCTTCTCAAAAAAGCATTTAGAACAAAAAAAAAGCATTTAGAGTAGTGTCCAGAGCTACACAGTGAGGACAGCCAGAACCTGAATTCCCTTCTTTGAATTTTACAGTGAGCAATATTAGCTATTTGAAACCAATGATTTCTGCACCACTTCCATGTATCCTTCCAATAATGTATACCTAGCTACAGACACATTTTTAAAGTAAAGAATATCATGAAAAAGTTGCTTTTAAAATAAAGTTATTTAGTTACAAAAGCAACTGACTATAATTTTTTTTATAATTTTTAAAGTTGTGGAAAAAAATAGAAAAAGAACACTCCTACTTCCCCAATCAATTGATATGAATCTATACCTTTTAATTCTTAAAAAATTAAAAAAAATTTTTGGACAATTGCTTATGAGAGGGATTCTTCATTCACTGGTTCATATATATGTATATCCTAAATGCATATATATATATAATCATATATATAAAATCTTATAAACTTTGTATTTTTTTAATCAATGTAAACTTTTCAAAATGCATAATAATGTGTACATATCATGATTCGACATATGGTAAGACAATGGATTCTTTTCTCATTTTTCTCTGTGTAAAACTTTTTCAGTATTTAAGGATAAACTTTCATAACATCAAATAGATAATCAGATAAATAATTTGCAAAACTTGAAGAATTCACTTTAACATTAAGAAAGAATGTGCCATTTGACTTAATTATTATTTATCTTAGGCAGTCATGGAAACAGCAGGTGATCTGGTTCCTGTGGCTACCTACAAAGAATCCCGTCTTTGTGTGTCCATAGAACAGATGAAGTATGCACTGCCAGGCAGACACACTGTTCAGACAGCTTGTGAAGGTAGAGTTCAAAGTCTCTTTAATTTGGATATGAAGGGTGGCTATGAAAGATATGTCTGGAGAGGGTCCAATTCTCTGGGAGGGGCTAGAACAGAAAGCAAAAAAATGAAGGAATTCAGCATAAAGCCAAACTTGAAAGAAAAAGGAGTTCAAAGAGAAAGAAGGCGGGTAAAGGGGGGAAGGCTATGAGATTATGCATGGTCAATTCAGCCCTTTAAAGAGTAAGTCTCAGGGCTGGCACTGTGGCATGTCCCAGCTGCTTGTGATCCAGCCTGCTGCTAATGCCAGGGAAAAGCAGCGTAAGATGGCACAAGCTTTTGGGCCTTTGCCTTCCACAAGAGATTAGGATAAAGCTTGGGGCCTGGCCCACCCTGGCTGTTATGGAGAATAAACCAGCTAATGGAAGATATCTATCTCTCCCTCTCTCTATTGACTTTAAAATAAATAGTATTCATGCATACATGCATACAAAGTTTTAGGGGGCAGTACAGTGGTTAAGACTGCACTTAATATGTCTGTACCCTCTGTGAGAGTACCTGGGTTTGAGATCTGTCTATGTTCCCTGTTCCATCTTCCTGTTAATGCACAGCCAGGAAAACAGCAGTCACTGGCTCAAGTTACTTGGATCCCTGTCACCTGTGCAGAACACCAGGGTTGAGTTATGGGATAATCTGGATTCAACCTGGACCAGTCCATTGTTTACAAACATCTGAGAAGTGAACAAGCAGATAAAAGATCTCTCTCTCTTTCAAATAAAATTTTACAGAAGGAGACAAAAATTAAGTCTCAATCTCATTTGAAATGAGATTTATTTGAAATGAAAAATATGCTAGTATCCCAAACACCTGCAAAAACCAGGACTTAGCCAGGCAAAATTCAGCAGACTACTCCATCCAGGTTTCCCAGCTGAGTAGCAGAAACCCCAGTTCTCAGGCCATCATTGACTGCCTCCCAGGCACATTGGGAATCTGCATTGGATCCTAAGCAGTGGCTTAACCTACTCACCATAACCAATGGTTACTGTCTTCATTTTTTCTTGGTAAGGTTTACTTTATTTTTTATTGGAAAATCAGATATACAGAGAGGAGGAGAGACAGAGAGGAAGATCTTCTGTCCAATGACTCACTCCCCAAGTAATCACAATGGCTGGAGCTCAGCTGATCTGAAGCCAGGAGCCAGAAGTTGCTTCCGGGTCTCCCACACGGATACAGGGGCCCAAGGCTCTGGGCCATCCTTGACTGCTTTCCCAGGCCACAAGCAGGGAGTTGAATGGGAAGCAGGGCCACTGGGACACAAACCAGTACCCATATGGGATCCCGGCATGTACAAGGTGAGGACTTTAGCTGCTAGGCCACCACGCCAGAACCCTGTTTATTGTCTTTAAATGAATTATAGCCCTCTTCTTTTAGCATTTCAATTCATTGAATGTGAAACCCTCTTAACTAGCAAATTCATTAACAGTGACACTTCTTTTTAATTAAAGTTTTATTGATTTGATAGTGAGGGCCACAGAGAGAGAGAGAGACAGAGAGAGCTTTTATCCACTGGTTCACTCCATAGATAATAGCCAGAGCTGAGCCAATAACTTATTCCAGGTTTCCATGTGGGTAGTAGGAACCCAAACACTTGGGTCATTCTCTGTTGCTCTTCCCAAGCACACATAGCGAGGAGCTGGATCAGAAGAGGGCAGCCAGGACTTGAACTGGCACACATGGGGGATGCTGGCATCATACCTGCTATGCTAAAACAGCAGCCCCAACAGTGCCATTTTTAAGAACTGGCACACATAATAACATTTAATTGCCCTTGACAGAAAACCAGGAAGAGATGTTTGGGTAATTACTCACAAGATTATAAGATAAGCCATATGCATGGTAAGGTACCTGATCCAATCAATATTAACTCAGTACAGTGAATGCAGTGCATTATATAGTAAAGCAAGTCAAAGTCTCGCTTTACACTAGACAAGTCTAAAGAGACCAGTATTGCAGCATAGTAAGTTAAGACACTGTCTGACACTCCAGCATTCCATACCAGAAGAACGGTTTGAGTCCTAGCTGCCCTACTTCTTCTTTTTTTTTTTAAAGATGTACTTATTTTCATTACAAAGTCAAATATACAGAGAGGAGGAGAGACAGAGAGGAAGATCTTCTGTCCGATGATTCACTCCCCAAGTGAGTGCAACGGCCAGTGCTGTGCTGATCCGGAGCCGGGAGCCAGGAGCCAGGAACTTCCTCCAGGTCTCCCACACAGGTGCAGGATCCTAAAGCATTGGGCCATCCTCCACTGCTTTCCCAGGCCACAAGCAAGGGGCTGGATGGGAAGTGGAGCTGCCAGGACTAGAACTGGCGCCCATATGGGATCCCAGCACGTTCAAGGCGAGGACTTTAGCCTCTAGGCCACGCCGCCGGGTCCAGCTGCCCTACTTCTGATTTAGCTCCTTGCTAATATGCCTGGGAGAGCAGTGGTCAGAAAACCAAAGCATTTGGGCCTCTGCTATCTACATGGGAAACACAGGTTAAGCTCCTGGCTTCGGCCTGGCCCAGCCCTGCCTGTTGTGGCCATCTGGGGAGTGAACAAGCAGATGGAAGGTCTTTCTGCCTCTCCTCTTTGTAAATTACCTTTCCAAAAATAACAATAAATCTTTAAGAAAGAAGGAAAGCTACAGAGACATCAACACTGACCCAGATTAGATCCTGTACTCAAGGAGGAAAAGCGTAATAAAGGAGATGAGATGAACTGGCAAAATTGGAACATGATTAATAGATTAGGATACAACAGAAAACAGAGTAATAAATTACTAGAATACTGGATTAGTGTTAGGTTTCTGTAAGTGGATAAGTGTTTCTATGTCCTCTTCATAGCAAACATGTATCAAAGCATTCAGAAATATAGGGCCCTTGACTATGTAACTTACCCTCAAATGTTCCAGAAATAAAATTATGTGAATGCACATTCAGAGAAATCATTATGTAAGTATGATATGTGAGTGTGTCTTAAGTATAAATATGCATTTATATGTATATGTACACTTGTACATAGAGAAAGAGAAGGCATGTATGGTATTTGAGTAAAGAGGGAGAAAGACACAGAGAGAAGAACAAGGAGAGAGGGAAAAAAAGTAGATACAGAGGGGGAGAAAGAGGGTAAACACGAGTGAGCCAAGGGAACCAGAGACACCACCCCACGTGCAGTCAGCACAAGTGTCTACAAGCATGGGACACATAGTTAGTATCTTAATATATACCATAAACATTATACACTAGAGTTCAAAGACTTAATATGAAAATTGACTATAAAATCTCAGTTGTTTTTAATATTCATTAAACATTATAGTTAATATAGTTTGGACATACTAGGTTAAATAAAACATTGCTAAACTTAATTTAACATCATCTTTTGTTTTTTCATGTGGCTATTCCATATATGTAATTATATATGTGACATGCCAGTATTTTTATTGGCTATTACTGTAAGATAGCACACAAATGAGGTAAAATGCAAAGAATATAATAACAAGATAGTGGGGCCAGTGTGGTGACAGAACAAGAAAATCCTCTGCCTGCAATGCTGGCATCTCATATGAGCACCAGTTCATGTTCTTACTGCTTCAATTCTGATCCAGCTACCTGCTAATAGCATGAGAAAGCAGGATAGGATGGCTCAAATCCTTGAGTCTCTGTACCCACGTGGGAGACCTGGAATAAGCTCCTGGCTCCAGGCTTTGCACTCTCTGCTTCTCTTTGTAAATATGCCTTTCAAATATAAATAAATAAGGGATGGTGTTGTGATGCGGTGGGTTAAATCAACACCCTTTTCAACAGAATTACATATGGGCACTGGTTCAAGATCCAGTTGGCTTGACTTCTGATGTAGTTTCCCACTAATGGCTGGGGAAAAGTAGGGCATCCACACTGGAGAACTGGATAGAATTCTAGGCTTCGGCTTTAGCCTGGCCCAGGCCTGGTAGTTCTGGTAGTTCTGGCCATTTGGGAAGTAAACCAGTAATTGAAACATTTTTTCTGTCTCTTTGTCCCTCTTCATCCCTCCCCCTTCTCTCTGCCTTTCATATATATATATGTATGTATATATATATATATATTTTAAGAGAATTCAACATAGGCTTACATTCTGTAATTAAGAGAGGAAGACTGACATGATAGAGGAGACATTTTATACTTGACAAAGTAGGGTTGTTCAATGTAACTGAGGGGATGGTGGTCTGCGACGATCCAACCAACATCATTTCAGATGGCAATAACATGTGCAGAGACAGCCTCAGGAGATATGCCCCCAACTGCACCCACTCACCCCTCTGGGAAAAAGGCATTGATGATCCGGTCCCCCAGTGGGTTGATGGCAAGCTCTGGAATCCTCTGGAAATCTTCACGGCTGCCAAGAAAAACATCTGGGGTTAGAGACCACTGCCCCCTAGCATGAATTCCTTCAGCCTGAAACAGCGTGTAACTGCAAGAATATTATCTGCTGAATTTACCTCTGTTACAAATCACACAAAATAACTGCAACGAATAGCACTTTAATAGCTGCCAAGTGTTTCCTGTACCCACAGGGTTTTAGCAGTCAGACTTGTCAAGGCCACATTCCAGCGAATTCAGCACACGGAAACCAACCAACAAGAAATGCTAAGTTATTTCTTAGTAAATGATTCCTTGGACATTATCATTTTGTACTTAGTTACTAAGTTTGGAGAAGAAACAACAAATGGAAAGTACCTAACCCCAGGGAATATGAACGGGGAACCAAAATTTCCCTGTGCAGATACAAAGGAGCAGTGAAATGGAAGGGATCCTTGGGTGATATTTACATCAAAGCAAAGACTGTAACAACCATTGGATTTCCACATTTCCAGCTCTCTGTCTCTTTTACAAACTGCAGCTAGAGAAGTACTCAACTTCAGGGAAAGGCAAAAGCATTCGCCCTCAGATAGCCTGCAGGTTCTGCTGCTGCGAAGCCCGTTTCCCAGGGTGCTGCTCCAACTCTGCTGACGTACATTTCCTCTCTCCCTTACTTGATCTATATCCTTTTTAGAACTGAGGAAATTGACAGAGAGATAATTTGTCCAGAGCCACACAACTACTCAGGAGCAGAACTATGGTTTAAACACATTTTGGGGAAAACAAAACTGCTCTCCCAAAAATGTTTCTAAGTTCTTTAGTTGATGTCCTGTGCCAAGAATACACAGCTGTCCAACAGTACATACACACTGCACCTTTTTTAAATTTACATATCTTTACCGGAATGGCAGAATTACAGAGAGGAGAGACAGAGGAAAAACCTTCCATCCACTGGTTCACTCCTCAAGTGGCTACAATGACAAGAGCTGAGCCAATCTGAAGGCAGGAGCACTTCCGGGTCTCCCACACGGGTGCAGGATCCCAAGGCTTTGGGACATCCTTGACTGCTTTCCCAGGCCACAAGCAGGGAGCATTGGAACAGTGCTGGGAGGTGGAGGATTAGCCTTTTGAGCCACAGCACTGCTTTAAGAGTCATTTTGGGTTTAATGTGAAAAATGGAACATGGACCATACAGAATATGGAGTATTATGCAACAGAACCATATCAAAATGCAAATATCTTGAGATTTTGATCTTAAAACATATACTATTGGGCCCGGCGCGGTGGCGCAAGTGGTTAAAGGTCCTCGCCTTGCACGCCCGGGATCCCATATGGGCGCCGGTTCTAATCCCAGCAGCCCCGCTTCCCTTCCAGCTCCCTGCCTGTGGCCTGGGAAGGCAGTCGAGGACGGCCCAAAGCTTTGGGAACCTGCACCCACGTGGGAGACCCGGAAGAGGCTCCTGGCTTTGGATCGGCATAGTATCGGCCCGTTGCGCTCACTTGGGGAGTGAATCATGGGACGGAAGATCTTCCTCTCTGTCTCTGCTCTCTGTATATCCGCCTTTCCAATGAAAAAATAATAAAAATAAATCTTTAAAAAAAAATACACTATTTAAGGAAAAGCACAATGAAGTATATGGAAGAAATGTCAAAAATTATGTATCTGTTCTTGTAATACTTCTATAAACTTGTAGCTATAGCTATTTTCAGATGAAAGGAAAAAACTCACATAAACCTGAAAAAAAGACTCCTGCCTTCAAAAAGTTTGCTCACAGAAGATGCAAAACACATTCCCCTACCGTCTTCACACTGAATGCCAACAAAAACAGAAGACTGTCAAGTTCTCCAGGGTTACCAAGGAGCATTCTCAGTTTGTTCCTCTTGTGGTTTAACATTTACCTGGCGCTTAAATAATTCAACAAGATCATCTCCCACATCTGGGAACAGGAAGAAACTGACCAAATCGACTAAGCACAAAGCTCCACAACATTCACCCTGGCTTCCAATCACCCCTGATCAGAGGCCACTGATTTAGATCAATGAAGGAGCCACAGGAAAACTGCATAGCTGAAGATGAGAAAATCTCTGAGCTAACGAGTCGTGAATTCAACACACATGTACAAAGCTTTGCTTACCTAATTTATACTGCTGTATGTACACATTATCACCAAAACATAGCCCCTTCTCATTTGATGAATGCTAGTCCCTTTTAAATAAAGTTTATTTGAACAGCATGGCCATGTACCTCAACTTAATATCTAACAACTTTTAAGAAATTTTAGCTGAGGAAAGGCACAGTTTAAACAGGAGCTCTAGCATCAAGTAATGAGTGCAAAACCTAGCCTGAACTTCAGACTCAATGAGGTAATCTCGGCCTAAGGACCTAAATCCTAGCCTTTGCTACTACCTGACTTCAGCCTTGGTGCTTGGATTACGTATATAAATGAGGTCCCAATCACCAGAGATCAAGACGAGGACTGCTAGGTGTGTCAAAACTAAAATGGAAGATTACCAAAAAAGAGTTTGCTGTTACACGATATAGAAATAATTGTATAGAATATGTAGATTGGAGCCCATATGGGCAATTTCTATGTAACTAAGCTTCTCATATTTGTCCACTAACACAAATCCAATAGAGAAAAAGAAATACTTCAGGCCAACACGGTGGTATATTGCAGGCAGTCTCTGCATGTGGCTGAATATCATACAGACACCAGTTTGAGTTTCGGCTTCTCCACTTCTGATGCAGCTCACAGCTGATGGTCTGGGAAAGCAGCAGAGAATGGCCCAGATTCTTGGCCCCTGCACCCATGTGGGAGACCCAGAAGCAACTCCTGGCTTTGGATCAGTTCACCTCCGGACACTGCAGCCATATGGGGAGTGAACCTTCAGATGGAAGGTGTCTTCCTCGCTCTGTTTCTTCCTCTCTCTTTAAATCTGCCTTTCAAATAAAAATAAGTTATTTAAAAAAAAACCCTTATTTTTGATGTTTATATAGTTGACCAGGGTAGGAAGGGACAAGGACTAGAGGAAAGTGGGTTTCCAAACCTTCCCCCTCTTCCTCCTGTATCTGGTGCAAAGAGGGAAGTTAGGGAGAAGCTGCACTCAGCCTTCCAGCTGCCCTGGTACCTGGGGATGGGGAATGGCCACCCAATGCCAGCCTAGGATCCTTGATCTGCTCAAGTGGTTTCGATAGTTCTGAAATGCTGTCGATCTCACTACTCCAAGGATAAGGAAATCCTTCCAAGTTCCATCTGCTGACACAGTCCACCCCAGAATCTCCATTTGCCCCAGTATTAGCTGTCAATGCCTGGTTGAGGCAGTAGAGCAATTTGTTCTCCTCTCCATCCTCTGCTATGGTACCAGATGTCCTCTGCAGGCCTGAGTGGACTGCCATATCCTCCATGTGCACTCGGGCATGCCATCCATTGCTCTCTCTTAGCCACTAAAGAGGTCCAGTTCTGACACATGCAATCCACAGTCAGACAAAAGATCCTGCAATTCTCCCCATGATTGGAGTTCTGAGTCCATTATGTCAGTTGGAGAGATCTTCACAGAAATCTTGTCTACAGCAATATAAGAACCTGTCTCTCGTGTGTATTTCCCCGTTTGAGGATCAGTTCAGTCCGTCAGGCTATGCACATACTGGTGGTGGTTAAAAGTCTCCAGGCCTGAGCCAATCCCAAAAGGACATTGTGGATTGTTGCTGATGTTATGTTGGGGCTTTTGATTGGTCGGGATGACACTCTGCCGGCTCTACCTTCAGACCAGAGATGGTCTCCTCAAGAAGCTGTTGAACTTAACTGGACAATAAGATGCTGGGCTCTATGCTTGGTATATGCTTGCAATGAAAGAATCTCAATTGAACTTGAACTGTGGCAATGCAGCAAGGTGGAGGAATCCACCATGGGAGGAGGGGTGGGAGGATTCCCAGTGCCTAAAAAACTATGTCACATAATGCAATGTAATTTAAAAAAAAAAGTCTCCAGGCCCATCTCTTACGTAAACCAATGGATGCTGTTGACCACTTCACTCCACCAACCACACACTTAGCCCTCACATTCACCAGAAGGAACTGCAACCTAGTCAGGGCAACCCCCAATAACATCCGCCAGGCCTGCTCCCAGCCCTGAATCCTATGTCTCACAAAAAATAAAATAAAATGAAATAGAACAGAAAAAATGAAATGAAATAGATTCATTTGAGAGAACAGCATGGTGGCATAGCAAGTAAAGCCACTACCTGCAGGGCCAGCATCCCATAGGGGCACTAGTTCCAGTCCTGGCTGCTCCACTTCCAATTCAACTCCTTACTAATGTGACTGGAAAAGTAGTGGCGAATGACCCAAGTGCTTGGGCCATGATTCCCATGTGGGAGACCCTGGGGAAGCTCTTGGCTCCTATCTTATTACCAGCCCAGCTCTGGCCATTGTGGCCATTTGGAATGTGAAGCAGCAATGGAAGACCTCTCCCTCTGTTGTAACCTCCTTTCAAATTAAAATAACAAACTTGGGGCCAGCACCGTGGCCTAGTCGGCTAATCCTCTACCTGCAACACCAGCATCTCATATGGGTGCCAGTTTATGTCTCAGCTGCTCTATAACTCTGATCCAGCTCCCCATTTGCAGCCTAAGAAGGCAACAAAAGGGGCCTGGCGCGGTGGCACAAGTGGTTAAGGTCCTCGCCTTGCACGCCCAGGATCCCATATGGGTGCCGGTTCTAGCCCGGCAGCTCTACTTCCCTTCCAGCTCCCTGCCTGTGGCCCGGGAAAGCAGTCGAGGACGGCCCAAAGCTTTGGGACCCTGCACCCACGTGGGAGACCTGGAAGAGGCTCCTGGCTTCGGATAGGCTTCTCTTTGTATATCTGGCTTTGAAATAAAAATAAATAAGATCTTTAAACAAACTATGTAAATACTGGGGGGGATTAGAGATTAAAGATAAAAATAATCTTTCAAATGAATAAAAAATATTTCTAAGGACTCAAAAATAAATTCAAGTATACCTTCTTGACAGCAAAAGAAAATTTCAAAGTCAGAAAA